CAGAATTAACATCAGAACTTTCCGTGAATTATTCAGAACGCCGCTTGGCCTAGCAGAGGAAAGAATTTTAAACTGTACCAATCAAACGTCGCAATTGTTTAATAAAGTTTATTATGATAATCAATCATTTAAGGTTTCTCTTCTTGAAACCGCAATTTCTACATCAACTTAGATATGTGTCATATGTCTTTAGAAACTTAATTTGAAATCTCGCAGCCAGTGGATATCAAATAATATTGAAAGCAAGCTTTGGCATCAAGGTCAACGATAATATCATACCATCTACAAAACGCCATTTTCAGCACGCACAGGCAATGTAAACGATGGCGTTAAACAACTTACATTTCTCTTTGTAATTCCTCCGCAGTTCGCTCTTTAAAAGTTCTTAGCACCACGCGTGACAAGCTAGAACGAAACCGAATGGTAGTTAAAATGCCACCTAATTATTTATCGCAGCGATTGAAGTATTCTGTAGCGATTTTCAGGTTAGTACAAGGTGAACAAGATCACGGGACCAAAATAATGTGATATTCAATTTACACACTCACCCGTGCATATTTGCACTGCTGATCATTGCTGTGGCATTCTCACTATTCGAGGCAGTAACTCAAGCTGAATGACGAAATGACAAACAGTTCAAAATGTCCTCTTTCATGAAGTAATCAAATTACTTCATGTAACATCACTTACACTCGTCAAAATTTGAAAAAATTCTTAGATGTTAGAAGAACATGCAATTGCAGCTTAGCCTCCAGAAATAACTCAGTCAAACGCTTCAATACCTTCAAAAAAATTTTTAGTCTTAACCGTCGACGCATGACAATAATTAAGGATGCTGTGACTGAATTAAGCTCCTGCAGCAGAAACCTTTACGCATTCTGCCAATTGCAAAGTACAGCTTATATTCGGCGTAGTATTCGTTAAATAGTTTCAAGGCTTTGAAATTGATTGTAAGTATCACATAAAAATGAGGTAATAAATTTGTGTTATTATCTTGAATTGACAAAGCTGATCCGTACCCATTTCATCGTTCGGTATTTTGTTCGACAAAAAAATCGATGGGCTGTTGCACTCCGACTATGATCCTTGTCATGCTTGACGGAACTGTTGAAAGAATGCCAGAAGATTTTCAGCCACGTGGCAGAAGTAACTAGCAAGAGAATTTCAAAAGGTGAACGACTGCACATACAAAATATTAAATTCGTATGCTTCTCAACGGGTACTGTTGTAAAGTACAGTGCTTCGATTTCATTATTTTTTGTATCTTCGAGCATTAGAGATAATCGCACAGCGTATATTATATGTAGCATAATTTTGTACTTCAATTATCACTCGCAGAAATATTCATCAGCGCATGAACAGTTTTACCCAAGGAAGTCAACTTCGACAGATGTCCCTCACTTACCATGTTGAAATTGAGCGTTTCCTATACCCTACTCTTCCACTTTCAAAATGCTTTTGCCATTCTGATGAGGGTCTCTAGATTAATTAAACCTGCTTATGGTCTGCGCTAGTTCGATGAAAACAGAAATTTATTTTTCTTTGGTGCATTACAGCTATGGACAAATGTTCTAACAGTTCTGCTTGTAGTTTCAATGGCCATGCTGACATGGACGAATGGCCTAAAGATAGATTTTCTAGACGCACGTACGTGTAAGGGTGATCTTTTATGCACTGAGCCATTGCCCTCTAGTGTCATTAACCCTATGGCGATCCTGCACCTTTCACTTGTGGAGAGGATATGTACCGTAATCGAAGTAAACGAAATTCTGAGCCTCCTTGTCGAATTTTCAAGTAAACTTCAGGTGAGAATGTTGCATCAGGCCATTGGTTCAATCTTCGAAATGCGTATGCTACTGTTTTACTATCAGCAGATAATCACGTGTTCAAAATAGATCCTCTGCCATCATGATATGCGCATATTGGTGAAGTGAACCTGGGCACACGAGCGAGGTAGGTATCTTGAACGAGCAGGTACTGGTGTATACAGGTAAAGAAAACTATCGGATAGACTCAGAAACCGACCCTGTCTTAGTTTCATAAAATGACTCGTAAAGGTAAACAGAAATCTGATCAAATCTTTTCTCTCTTTGGAAATGGGCACCTAGACGCAGACTCATATAAATACCAAAACATTCGGAAGACGCAGACCTGCTTTCAGGAATATGAATTACAGAAATATATCCCTTGTCTAATATAATTAGCAGAAATGTGTCCTTTGTTTATTATCAGTCTGTAATAGCATTTCTAACGGTCAGATATCATGAGCCTGTGTTGCACTACTGTTTGTAAACTATTAGCTTCAAATCGCAAAACAACAAAGCCTAAGTTACAGTTTGCGACGACGTGCATTTCTGAATTTAGTGCATGATGCATGCAAGAACCTGGTCTTCCCACTCGATCGGGATGGAAACGAGAGTGACGATGTGATTTTTAACTAGGCAACTAGAAAAACTTGCACGTCTGTCTTATCGTGACCTCGCTTCTTTAGGAGCTTGTCCTCGAAAGGCAGTTGTTCTCAAGCTAATAACATGATATATGACTGCATATTAGAAGACCTCATTATTTAAACCGCTTGTTCTCACTTTTCTCCTTTCAATGTCTTAACTAGCGTCCCTTCTTGTAACTGAAAATTCGCTTGGTGACAACTCGGCCATCACGGCTCCGACTAGACACATCAACAAGCTGCAATTTTTTCATCACTCAATTTCTTCCCCTGCGGCGGTCAGTGAAATTAATGGCAAAACCGGCAAAAGAAGTGCTGCCAGTTGTTCGTTTAAGTGCGACTTCGCGAATTACCTTCGAGTTTGACCGCTGACATTTTCAGGTATTTGGCTGTTAACAAGGGAATGTTAGGTGACATCGAGTACAGCCATGGTTCAGTCATCGTCAGTGCTCTCGAGACACTTGATTCACTTCGCTCCTTGAGAGACTTCACTGGTTTTGGACAACTGGTGCTGCGCGGGGCTTAGACCACCGAAGCATCTGCAGCCATGCAACTGCTGCGTCTAGCCCGATTGCGTTCAGTGACTTTGTCGGGCTGACGCGAAACTTGTGCAGGCGTAGAAGATCTAAAAACCGTCGACGAGTCTTACTTGTTTGTCTCGTGTTTTCCTTTATTCTGTTCAGCGTTTTCCCCCATGAGTATCTGTGACACGACATGTTATGCTTTTTTATCTGCTGACGGAAAATTAAGTATCCTTGAGTTTCCTCCTTCCTCCCCGAGATGAGTTACTGCACAGTTGTGCGAAGAAGAAGCCGCAGGAGAAAAGGTGGCCATGACCAAACTCACCGAGGAAAACGCATAAATGGTCAAGTCTCACAGTGTGGTCACCTGGAACCAAACTCAGCCAGAGTTAAGGTCAAACGGGTCATCAGCCCAAGATGCCTGGCACATGTTGACAGTAGCCGAAATTGATCGAATGCCAATATCGAATGGAATGGAAAGCACGAACAAAAAGAGCCCGGTCCTCCACGTGCAGCTCGAGTCGTGTTGCATCGCACAGTTAGCGGACGATCGTTGGACTTATGCACAGACGGATTGGCACAGAATGGGTTTGAAAATCTCAGTCCAAGCGGGGCGATGAAAGTAAAGAAAGATATGGAAGCTTGTGGGGATGATTCACACGAGTCAGATGAGTTTAGGCAGAAAGATTTGACAGTGATTCCCATTGGTTACAAAAAACAATCAGTGCGTTTCTGCCTGCATAGCGGACGAAAAAATGTCTATGAATTACGGTCCTTCATCTAAAGAGTATTGATGACTTTATTTGGCTATTTGTAAAAGTTTATTAAAATATGCACTAGTTAAAAAGCTTTGGAAATATTTGCAAAATGCCGCCGTGCCTCAAGGTGTAGCCTTGACGTAGGTGTGACGTTTCCACGCAATGCTTATCACTTCGAAACTCCGTTGAAAAGTAACGGAATGATTTGACACGATAAGAGAATTAAAGCACTTATACACACTTTCATCATTAAGCGGACGACTTGAACCAGTACAAACGGGAACAGACACTATTATATATTGTTTTCGTTTCTCATGCATTGGCTGAATTTAATCTTCATTAATTATGGTCATCTATAATTAATACACAAATTGAAATATGCGCAAAGCGAGCATATCCCTGGGGCTGTATCTGTCGTAAGGGAGAAGAACTGAAAGAAGTCACCTGCCATAAATACATTAATTGACAGATGGACCGCATTAGCATCTAGACGGCAAAATCAACCGAAGAAGGACGGAGGCCTAAGCTGCTATGAACTACAATTTTGAACGTTATTCTCCTGAAGAGAACAGATTGCTGATCATCGAAAAAAGCGAGGGAGGGAAAACCTGGAACATACCTCCGGGACCGTATTCGACAACTGAGTTGATTGACAGGTGTAATTTCTGCCTTCTTAGATGCGAAGAGTAAATAAGCCGGGTCATCTAGCTCGCTTGTCCGAGAGACAACCTGTGGACGTCAAGAATTACAAATTGTATTGCACTGCACCACGAACGATGAGTCGGTTTTCCAAAACACGATGGTCAAATTACTTGGTCAGTGATGAACCCAAAACGCAAAAGATAGAGAATTTTTGAAGAACCTCGACTTGCGTTCCTGGCGCAGCCATAACGTGGCCAAGTCGGATCAGGGATGAGTCAGGATGACCGATTTTGGAATACGTGAGAAAGCCCGGAATTTTCTGAGAAATCCATTTTCCAGATCCTGGGATTTTTATTAAATTCAAAACTACCGTGTTCTTTCAACAAGTGCGGTTTCGTGACGAACTTGGGCGAGTTGCTCAGTTTGTGAGTCAACTCGGCTCATGGTCAGATCAAAGAAGCTCCTAAGAAGGCGATGATGGGACTCTATTAGAAATGCATGCCCCTGATGTGATGGCGTTGCTGCCAGTCACCTCAAGTAGTGGAATTAATTGCCTCATGCAAATAGGTCACGCCAACGCGAGTGCGAAAACAGCTGGCGTATCATTGAACAAAGTTGCGGCAAACCCGCTTCTTTGCGTAACGTGTCGCTAAGGTTTAATGTTCTGTCTACGTGCTGTGACTACTCCCGTTTTCTGGCTGTTGACGTGGCGGTTGTCCTGGCGGTGTCTACTTACTAGGCCTAAAGTTCAGTTACAGAGAAAGTATCGGATTTCGCCGTCTGGCACACAAAATGACCTTCTTACATATGAGTGTTTGCAATAATCATAATTACGATTTGTGCTAGTCGTCTGGTCCGGCGTTGCAGTGAAATAACGTGGTCATGCTTCTGCAGTTTTGCCTCATTTTCACCTTTGGCACCCTCAACATTGTTGGGCAAAGAAGCAACGTGCCCTCGTTGAACTACCTCGACGTACTGAGGAGGATATCGGTGCCGAACGACGGTAAGAGAATTTTTTGAAACTGTTCCACAGATCCTCACCCAACGGATGAGGTGATCTACCGCTTTTCAGCCGTATGCACGGGCAGGCGGCCGGCATACCTCGCGGCTCCCATCACCTCATCGTCCGAGTTCCAGTCGTCCACTCAGCTGATCGGTGTCACCAGCTCCCAATGCAAACAGATCTGCTCCAGAAATCAGGTGAGACCGGCGTTGACCAGAACGGACGTTTGAGACGCGGATGAACTTTAGACGCCGAACGGGCGACGCATCGCCTGCGGCTCGTTCGACTACCACCACGGTGACAGACAGTGCTCTCTTCATCGCGAGCAGGTGAAACCTGACGGCTCCGGCAACCTGAAGATCGTCGCAGGTTCCAAGCAACAGTACTTCGAAAAATTTTGCCTACCGGGTAAACGACAACTTTGTTCAGCGAAGTCATTGCAGTCAGTACCTGAGGCTCAAGCTTTCGCTCGTTCAGTCTTCAGGCTGAACACGGATTTCGAACTTTGCCACTCAACCAACTGTTGTCCTCTTCTTCTTTTCGCCTTTCTTTCTTCCCCTTCCTCCTACTCTTCTTCTTGTCATCCTAATCAACGATATCACCGTCAACTTACCATCAGAGGTTATGAAAGCATTCCACCGGGATCGAACGACTTGTGCTGAATGTTCTGCTGTCCTTTCGGTATCATTTCACTTTTAGCGAGATATTCCCATTTCGATCGAAGCATCAGGCATTGCGTACAGTATTCGCTTCGCAAGAGGCTACCGTCCGTTCACTGACATGATTCTTCCCTCTTAAACCGATATTCTGCTCCCAATCAGTCACTTTCGTTAGATATCACACTCCCTCTCTTACGGCACCTGATCATGCCAACTTACTCGTAACATCGATCAATGAGACTCCGCTCCCGTCGCTTTAAGTTTTGGTTGTCAGCGTTGTTATGAGCTGCCGTCTATAAACCATTGAATAAGATATTCCGAATGCTGACTCTGCCAGATCTTCGTTCCCCCCCCCCTTTCACCGCTCCGGCGTTTGACTAACCTGTCACTTGATGCTATCAGCACGGGGGCAGAGAATGTTTTGAAATCGTTTTTCGCTCATCTATCTGCAACCACGAAACTCCAGACGCATGGATAGTTCGGTACCATTTCCACGACATTGCTGATACCAAGGATGATTAGTTGTTATTCTGGTCTCTGGTTATTTCCATTCACCTTTCGTTGTGAAATCAATGAAGATATCCAGTTAAGAACAACATTATTTCAGAGCTGAAAACAACAGGTGCACAGACTCCAAACTGTCTGCTAGCAACACGACATCTTGTCCGTATGAAAACGAATTTAGACAGCCGTCTTCCATTCCAGCAGCTCACTTAGCGTCGACGATTCGTATTGGAGGAAACATCCGCATATTATCAAAATCTTCAATTATTATACAAGTAATCCCGTAACAAACACGGCTACTGTAGCATTAATCTTTATTGCATAAAAGGACAAGTTTCAATTTTCGAGTTTCTTTGGGGTTCTTACAAAATTACTTGCTTCACAACCATCCCAAACGACTGTTCTTCTATTTATTTTGTACATGGTGCATTTTGTTATGAAAAGTAGCCCTCCGTCAAAGAAGCAGTTATATTATTCACCATATTTTTCAAAGACTGTGCTGTCCTTTATCAGAGCAGAAAAATCCATCAAAGAAGCCACCTAGTCTTCTTCTGCTATTCTCGATAGATATTCCTCAATTCCGCGACAGTTACCCCTTGTATGTCATATTTGACTTGACAGACAAGGGATCAACTTCCAATTGAACAGAAAACAAGGCTTCATCATATGCTCATGCTTCATGAATAAATTTTAACATATTTTGAGTGGTCGTTAATCACAGCTTGTAAGCAAACCGCTTTCGTCTCTGAAGCGGACTGAATGAAAGCTTCTATTCACTAAATCCATTGTTGTGGTACCAAGACCAAGCTTCGACCGATCGGTCAGTCCGCTTGGGCACTCTGCGTTCTGGTTTCGTTTAGCCACCATTATGCATCGAATTTTGCACCGTCCCACAGTGGTTTTGGTCTTTTGTTACAATCGCTTTTTCCATACCATACAATACTGACCTGGATGAGGCAAAGTACAAGCGGAGAATTCACATAAAAGACTACTTTTTTCTCAGCCTCAACACTAGGCAACTTACCTAAAGCATTTAAGACTATCCTCCTATTTGACTCTGATTGGACTGTGCTATCGTTGGAGATGACTGAGTGGAAATGGCTAAATTTTTCGAATTTTTATACCAATTCGCTTGTCTGCTCGAGTACTAGAAATGGGTCCATGATACAGCTGTATGAAGAGAGCCCGGCTGGAAATTGAGTCCCTTGTACAGTCATGAGTCGTACATATCGAAGTGACTCTGAATGTACTGTAAACTAGAAATTTTCTCCTGAGCATAACTCGTACGTAGTACTGATTGGAAAATAAGAATCTGA